GAAAACTACACCACACACAGATGGGAAAATTGCTGCAGGACATTCTTACCTAATGTATTTTCTAAAAGACTCCCCAGAGTTAAAGCTAGTATTTCATTTGAAATGGTGGCATGGTGAGCCATACAAATTAAGGACTGGAGGGAGTTTAATCTCCAGTCCTCTCTCCAAGGAGCCAGAGCCACACCAACACAACTAAGCATAACCACAACGTGCACGCGCAACACAAAGCAAGAGATGCACAGACTGCAGTAAGTCCCTGCGAGAGACTTAATTACCTTGTCAGTGTAGTCTTGCATGTACCTGTAACTGCTGAATGACAAACAAGCCTAATATCCTTTCTTTTCAGCTATATTTACATTTAAAAAGCAGCATGAATTCTGCTGTAAATCCCAAACAAATGTTGTAAATAACTACTTTAAAGAAAGACTTCCTTTCAGAGGGAGATTCCTCTGCAACCACATGGTATAAAATGGGAAAAGATATATATATATATATATACACACACACTCATACACACACTAAGCCCTGCTGACAAGAAAAATGGGTGGCAGGAGAAAACTTAAATGGGTGATGGTTAGGGACTGTAACAGGGCAATGCTAGCCATGGGTTGAGGGGCCCTGATCCCAGGCACAAAATGGCTATTTCCACACAGAAACACATGAGCTCCTCCCCTTCCTTCCAGCTATGCTCAGTCTTCTTGGGTTACCAATGGATCAGACTAGACCAGTATGTTCAGTCTACATACACAAGATGCTTTCAGAAGCCTGTGAAAACCTGGGGTGACTTTCAACATGCTGCATCACATTCCCTCAGCTGGGTTTTACAGGACTCACAAAGCATTACACAAACTGTAGGGAGTCACTACTCTTCAGTGAAATGTGCGATTAAGGCACTGACTAGTCTAGAAAGCCTAAAACCCCAATAATTTAAAACCATCAGGTGATTTTAAATTTTAATACAGACCATACCTGAAAGTTTTTTTTCCTAACACTAAAATTTTTCTTTTTACACACATGGGGGGAGATAGAAATCAGCATACCCCTTAGAATATTTTAATAAATGCTTACCGTAGTAATAGGTTTTGCCAATACCATATACATATGCCATGAGTGAGGAGGGGCTGAGGGAACTGGCTTGTTTAGCCTGGAGGCAAGAAGATTTTGGGGGGATTTAATAGGAGCCCCCCAGTGCCCGAGAGGAGGTTACTGGAAAGACAGCGCCAGGCTCTCTCCTCAGGTGTAAGGCAGCAGACGGGGAAACGGCAGTGACAAGCTGAAGCTGGAGAGGTACTGGCTGGACCTAAGGCAATATTTTTGCTATGAAGATGATTCAGCACTAGAAGAAGCTCCCTTCCCAGAGAGGCTGAGGTCTCCATACTCAAGTTTTGAGACCCAGCTGGACACAGGCTGAGCAGATGGGGCTGCACCAGAGACCTCCCACTGGCCCCTCCATCCCCAGCAGGACCAAGGAGTAAACACTGCCTGGCTGCGTTGGCAGCGCGACACAACTGTGCTGCTTTGCCAGCCACCAAAAGTCAAGTCAACAGGATGCTGAAGCGTGAAACTCTTGCTTGTTCAACAAGAAGTGGTTAAATAAGTATTTGATAAACAGAATAGGTCTCTATATTGCACCTTCAATTTTACAGCTCTCTGATAACAAAGTATTTTGTGCCAAGTTTGGCTCTTCTCTAGCACGTTCCATTGTGAAAGTTTTTACTTAAATTTACAAAGATCTCAGAAGAAAATGATTTACAAAAATAACTATACATTAGAAGAACCAGCATTTTTAGTTCTCAAATTTGTCATTATTGAAGATACTTAAAGGACTTCTCCTCCATTGGTTTCATTTTCTACTTGTTCTTCAAAGATGATCAGTCCCATGTTTTTCCTCCATCAGCCTACCCATGCAAGTACAATGCCTGAAGACCTTAACGGAGCTTTGGAAACATTATTATCATGATGTCCACGAGTTAAAACTGGCGGGAGTTCACAGAGGAGACCTGTGCCTGCATCTGACCCAGGTTGGTAAGGTGAGACCCACAGCCATCAACCACAGACAGGGCAAAGGCAGGGGTCTGCACATGACTGCCCATACAGATAGATGTCTGGCATGGTTTTAGGCACGGTCTCCAAAAGGACCAACCACAACAGGCCAGGGACTACTCGCAGCAGTAAGTTTGGATGAGGTCATTCTGTTCTGGGGATGTAAATGAATTTAGCTGCACGGACACAAGCTGTGCCAGGTCATTTGGCCTTAGGGGCCCAGAACAGCCCTTGGCTGCTTCTCCTAATAATACAAACATGGCCTTAAAGACTAGTCAATGCCTTCATCACACGCTTACTTTTTCGCCCACAGAGGAGTTGTTTTGGCATTAGGATGCTGAAATGGACTGAATTAAAACCAAATGGAAGAAAACATGGCTTGGGAAGGCTGAAAAGCATAGAAGTGCAGAAAGGGAAACCATGTAAAAAGTGCCAAGGCAAATTATAAAGCTAAAACTTACTCTTGACCAGTTACTTCCATCAAAGTTTTAAAAAGACAGATAGCCCAAAAGACAGACATGTTATTTCAGGGTTTTGGGTTTTTTTTGCTTCTTGCAGTTGTTTGTTTGTTTGTTTTTAAGCACCCTGTGGACTTCTCTGCCTCTGCACAGAATGCCTGAGATATGCTGAATTTCAGAAGAGGCATCACTGTGACTGTAATTGTGCCACACTCCAACGCATCTTTCTCCCCTCACAATGGTTTCTCACAGCACTGAAGGCCGTTAGACCAGAGTTTCTTGTGCTGCAAACAGAAAGCTCCTCTACAGGAGCCCCGCAGTCACAGAGCCCTTCACGCTCCTTTCATGCCCTTGCAGTTTGTGTCCCACAGCTGCAGCACAGGGTGCAACACACAGCCACTCCTGACCCCGGTCCAACCACTTGTTCCGGGTAAGTGAAAAAATGCTAAACAGCTATATATAAATCAAGTCTACCACACACATATTTCACCACCCTTGTACTTTGTTATTCCTATCATAAAAAAAATAACAAAACATAAGCCTAGTGTGCTCTCAGTACTTTGCCACCCTGATGCTATGGAACAGTAATTCACTTGGTCCTTATAAGAAAATATTTCAATTAATTTCTTGTGTCTGAAATTTAATGTGGGTGATAATACTGAAAAGTCCTGTCTCCTTGTTTCTGCACGCAATTACATGTGTAAATGCTAACATTTATGCCTTCATTTGAGCATGGGTTATTAATAACCGGTGTGAAATTCGAGGGTATTGTTAGAAGCTTAGCCCATTAAGTTCCGTGACTTGTTTTCTTTCTTGTAAATTATGCAGTCCTCAGACTTTGCACAGTACATGCAAAGGAATAATGAATTACGAATTTAAATAAAAATGCTTCAGTTCAAAGCAATACAAATTTGAAGGTCTAATTGTGATCAATTTTAATTACTTTAATCATCTCTCAGACAGCAGAACTAAGTGGCATCAATTTCTGCATTTATAAAAACATGATCTTTCTCCCTGTTCAAGTCCTTTGCATCCATTCAACTTCCACCCACTTAATGGTCCTTTTTTTAATCACTCAGCAATTTTGCCTGTAGAATCTCTGACTCGAAAAAGGGAAGAATCTGGAATTCAAAGTGAACGAAAAATTTACTGTAGCAGACAGAGCTGAGGTTGCACGTGAGGTCAGGGGAGCAATTACCAATTATCAATGCAAGCTGATTTAGAAGGAGGAACCCAGTGAAAACATGCTAATAGATTCAAGCTTTCAGATACAGATGAAGGGAACAAGTTATCACAGATTTTAGAAGTTAAAGCATATGGTAGTCACGGTCCAGAACGTATCACAGAATCACAGAATGGTAGGGGTTGGAAGGGACCTCTGTGGGTCATCTAGTCCAACCCCCC